AAAGTTGAAGGTGTTGTTAGAGTTGCAGTTGAAACTGAAGTTCTACGTGATCCTAATAAACTTTAGAAGGTTTGTGTCCCATTATTGGTGTTTGATCATCTACACGTGCCCCATTAAAGTTGAAGGTGTTGTTAGAGTTGCAGTTGAAATTGACGTTCTATCTAGGTTTTTTAAATCCATACTGTGGGCATATATATATGCATTCACCTCTCTTCATTATTGGTGTTTGATCATCTACCCGTGCCCCATTAAATTTCTCTATAATAGGCGGCTTAGACGTGCCCAATTGCTATTAAACTTATAGCCATCTCTATCAACAAATTCTGGTCATATGATTCAGAAGCCTCCTTAATGTTTCTTTCAACATATATAATGGGATGGCTTGCATAACTCGATATGTACTTCGCCAAGTCCACAGATGTAGCTTCATTTGAAAATGTTGAGAACATATGCATTTGATATATAAATTGATGACTCACCACCAAAATCACATCCATGTACTATGTTTCTTTCAAATTTTTTGTAAGTACTACAATCTGTTTCATTACAACTTTTTGCTATAAGAGACACCCCTTTTCCCACGATCTTCAAGAATCTTTTCTTTATTTGAGGGAACCAAGAAATTTTTAATAATGACCTTTCTTTATTGTTATGTATTTGTGTGTTTTTACTTAGTCTCTATGATTTTTTTTCTTTGCAATGCAGGTTAGTAGTGTGAATAACCTGACCAAGTTGCTGATAAGTGGTTATTTTGTGGTAAGTTTATGCTTCTAGCATCAGGTATGCATCCTGATTTTTATTATTGCTAATGTATGTGGTAAAATTAAAGGGATTGAATATGAATGGTATACTTTGATCTATCTGTTAGATTTTTAATCCTTCCTTTATGATTGGCATGTAGTTTTTATGCCTTATGATTACTTATTACTTAAAATTACTTCTCTGAATAACTGTCTATTATTGGTTGTTCAGAGTAAAGCTATCCAAAAAACCACAATATAAATAAAGCTTTATGAGCTTTTGGTCCTTAGCAAGATTGAGGAATGGTGTTATGTAAATTTTCTCATTTATTATTCTATACTATTTACCATATTCAAGGATCCTTTTCTTTATCTCTTTATTATTTTCATTTTCTAAAATAGCTTCCTATTGATGTTCCTTCGTTTTTTTTTGGTGGGTGGGGGGGGGGGGGGCATTCAAGTTTTTAATTTAGTTTTTTTTCTTAAAATAAGGAAACAATGAAGCTAATAAATTTATGACATGTAAGTGTAATTACTTTAATCATATTTTTCTTCTATTTACTTTGGTAAAAAAAAACATTTATGATCTGTAAGTTTTGTTGCAATTTTCTACCAATTATGTAATTTTGATTTATCATTATTAAAAAGGTTTGAGGAAACCAGGGAGCAAATCTCGATAGCCTTGCAACAACTATAATTCAATGTGGTTGCTTGAGAATTCTATAGCAGTCGAATAATCAGTATAACTGAAACCATCCATCATAATTCTTTTGAATATATTTTGCATCTACCACTTTTTGGATTAAATGCATAACAAAGCATCATACATTCATTTTTGTGCATCATAGAACCCTAATTTTATTTTTATACTACTATAAATTCATGGATTTGATATGAAATGTTACAGATCTCCTATAACATGTTTGCATTGTGCTTGCAGCGATTGCTGTTGTAGATGCTCAAGTAGTGAAAATGCCTTTTAGTGATATCATGTGTGCCTTTCTGCTACTGCTAAAGACTTCACTTTTTGCACAAATACTCATCCATACTATACTAAAAGAGGTACATGATGTTGTGCTTTGCATTGCATGATAAATGATTTTAATATTTGTAGTCTTATTTTTTTTCATGTATATCTATAATAACCACCAAAGTCACCTAAGAAAAAGAAAATATTGACATCGAAATAGTAATACATGTTTTTGGGTTAAATGAAAACAATGCGATGTACTTTCATATTTGTTTATCAAGAGCTTGGCTTTTTCTGCAGTAACTAATTTCATAATTTTACATTAAATCTTTATTTACAACACATGTTAATGGCATTAATAGACCTTGATAAGAGGCAGAACTTCAATGGAATTGTTGAAAATAGCAAATATGAGGACATTGGATGACAACTTGAAGAGACCATGCTTAATATGCTTTTTCTATATCCATTTTCATATTTCTGGTTAATTCATTTTGAGTTTTTATAAATTTATTCAAACAAAAACCTTCATTTTTATACAAAAACATTAGACTGTTTTTTAAAGGCATAGATACATGCACTTCCAATGACAAAATGTATTTAATGCATTATATTGGCAAGGTACAAGTTTGTTTTGATAGGTTCTTTTTTACTATTATGGTACCTAAAACATAGATTTCACCTGAATTTAGCCCCAAATTTTAAAAAAGTGGCTTTTAGAAAATATAAGATTGTTAATCGTAATTATTATTATTATTATTACTTTCTTTGATATTTTTTCAATATCGATGTCATGTAGGCAATTGGTGTATGTTTATGGAAGTTTGCTTATCGACACATATAATAAGATATAATAAGTCAATAATGGTAGAGAATAATTTTTCATGCTATTAAACTTGATGAATAGACTGTAGACCTCAACCGAATTACCAATGAGATATTTGTTAAACCCATTATGTGGACTTTGCTTTTTTATGTATGTCGATTGCATTGCATAAAAAGGTAATGAACGTCTTCTCATTTTATGAATCCGGGTTGTAGCAAGTTTTTGCCAACATTATGAATAGAGATATACCATGGCCAATGATCCCCGAGGAGATGAGCTATGAAGCATATGACTTGATTAACAAGTAAGTTTCTATTTGTTTATTAATCAATTCAATCATATCACATATTCATACATGATACATAATTTTGTTTATGTTTATTTCAGGTTGCTAACAGAAAATCCAGCTCAACGCCTTGGCGTGATAGGGGCTGTACAGGTAACATTTTCTATCTCTCTCTCTCTCTCTCTATATATATATATATATATATATATATATATATATATATATATATATATATCAAACAATAAAATGAGAGAAGGCAAAGAGGTACGAAGTTAACTGATAAATAATGTGCGTCGACATTGATTCTCTTAATTCTTCTATTCATTCCATTATTCTGTTCTTAAATGAACCATTATTTGTGTCTGGGTTTACGAAAAGCAAAGTTGCTACTGTGTTTTCTTATTAGTGACTGGGTTTAAGAAAAGCAAAGGTGCAGTCATTAATTAAGAAATCTCGTATTTGATAAGTGGGTGAAAGGGCGAAAGGGATAGAAAGATATTCGATATGTTTTTTAAATGAGTATAAAAATGAAATATTAGTCCCTCCACTCCCACAATATTTGCTTCTTTTAAGATACTATCCTCGTTTGTTTATTTTTTAAAAGCCAAAACATGAGGTAAGCCATATTCTAGTATTACTCAAGGACACTATTTTTCTTGTAATATGTTGATGTATATTTTGGGCTAAATGCTACTTTCATTTTTTAGGAGGGAAAAAGATAAAGACCTGACGTTGCAGGTAGTAACCACTAAAAGCCAGGCTGCCATGAAATTGGTATGTAACTTAACATAGTTGGTTCTAATCCTTTTATTACAAGAAAATGTATATTTTTATGATTTAGTTAGAAGGTTTGTTACTTTATTTTGGAGTATTTGTGGGCAAAACAAAGGGAAGATGGGATACATGGATTGGAATTGAGATTAAGGTTTCATGAGGCTGCAGTAAAGAGGCTTGAGGGTGTGGACAAAGTGAGAGAACTTGAAGGAAACCCTGATTTTTCCAACAAGGATGTCGGGTGAACTCAACAACCACCAATGGTTGCAGAAGTGAGTTGAAGAGCTGACATGGATATTAGACTTTGAAAAACATTTGAGGGTATATTTTTTTATATTTCTTGTATCTAGTTAGTTTGTAAATTTTTGTTACAACTTTTATTGATTTGTTTTATCATTCCATGGAACGATTATTTGTATGACATTAAATTTATGCAATGGATTTTATTTTTTGTATATGATATTTTATTTTCTATTATGAAACATTAAATACAAATTTAATTTAAAAATAAGTAAATTTATAAATAATATTTTTTTTAAACATTTAAAATTATGATACGCAAAAATGTGTGTCATCTTCATTTATGACATGGCCTTTCTTGACAGAGGCTTTCTTGATACACATTGCGTGTCATTATCACGCGTGTCGTAAGGTTACGACACGCGAATGCGTGTCGTCTTCCTTTATGACAGGGCCTTCCTTGATACGCATTGCGTGTCGTAAACGTGCGTCGTAATTGCGCGTCGTAAATGCGCGTCGTTTATAGACGACGCGCAAAAGCACGTCGTCTCTCTTTATGACAGGGCCTTCCTTGACGCGCATTTGCACGTCGTCTGAGCCTTTTACGACGTGCAATGAGTGTCGTAAAAGGCTGTTTTTCTAGTAGTGTAGGTTCAAGTGGCAAAGTCGTACATTACTATTTCTTGACATCAAAAGTACATTACTATTTCACAAGTGTGGCATAATGTAGGTTTCTATTTCTTGATGTCTATTACTGCATGCTTCAATGGTTGTACATTTTCTTTGTTTCTTTAGAAATAGTGATGATGAAAGTAGAGAGGCCTGAAAGTTAAAGGAGATAATTGCCAAACCTAATCATTACAATATCTTTATTAAGCAAATATACAGTTATTTTAGTGGACAAACTATAATTTATAGTAATATTAACATGATGAATAAACATTTTAATGATGTGAATAAAAGCGACATAATTTCAAACGAAGCAAGTAAAGTGGAATTGGAGCCACCACAGTCGAACCGAGACAACCAATTATTAGCATGCAGAAAGTAATTCTATAATCTGTTGTCATGGGTGATTACCTAATAATTTTTTACCATTGATTGAATAGAAACATTTGCTTTTTTTTCTATTCATGTTGTCATGGGTGATTACCTAATAATTTTTTAAGAGACAAAGTCATTTGTAGCTAATGAGTCCCCAATAATAGGGCATTTTCCGTAATCCTGGTTAAAAAAAGAGCAAAGAATATGAAACAATAAACATCTGTAACCTACTCCTTTCCTAACGTGAAACCTAACATTTAAAAAAAATTGATACAAAATCTTCGTCGCCCGACTTCCTTAATCCTACATAGTATTATAAATTTTCCCTTTTAAGTCCTCACATTTTTACAAATGTTCCCTTATTTATTTCTGGGTCAAATGTTACTTTTATTTCTTTTAATAACGTTGGCATCCAATTACAAACTATGAAGCATTTTCCTTAATACGAAAATAGAAGTGCATATATTAAGGAAAACTATTAACAAATTATATATAAACAAAGTAATAAAGCGATGACTATTACCCCTTAGTAATAGAATGCAGCAACAATAAAGTTTTGCTACTTTATAAGCTCCTGATATAGAGGTCGCCTCATTAGATATATCTCACTAGAACATGAAGAGCAAGACTTGTCTTTCCTGAAGCTTCTTTTTTTTGCAAAAGCAAGAAATCAACGGTAAATGTTCCAAAACATGCTTTTATAGAAATTTGAGAAATCAGGAAAAAAAACCAAGAATGAAGAGAGAAATAGAAATATTAAGATAACTTACAGATAGATGAGTGAGGCAAAGAATATGAGTAGGACAAGCCTTTTCCTTGAGCCATCTTGAATGAACAGGAAAATAATAGTTACCATAGTTGCTCTTGTTGTTGCTGCCCCTGCCCCTGCCCGACCTCCTCACCCCTTGTCCCACCTTCAGTAGGACTTTGTCCCCTTCTACATTTACACACAAATCAACACATTTACACACAAAACAATTCGAGAACTACATATATCCGGCTAACGCTTTGTTCAGTAATATGATTAATTACTATGGAAATGACTGCTAAAATCATTTGTAACAGTAATATGATTAATTACTATGGAAATGACTGCTGAAATCAAGAATCTTGACACTGACTTGCAAATGTTAGTTTCTGGACTCAGGCTAACGCTTTGTTCAGAAAAAATTTGACCTTTCAGGTTTACCTTTTTTATTTTATTTTATTTTTTTAAAGTTTATGCATTTAGATCTCATGTCGTTACAAATGCTTGTTTTAAAAGCTTGTTATTCCATTTTTCTTCAAACCAGAGAAGGAATTTCAAGACAAATGCCAGGCTCATATTATTCCTAGTGTTCCTCTGTTTGTTAGTTGTAGCACTACAACATTTAGTGAACATTGAACTAGATAAATCCTCTTTAAAATTATAATTACTAACATTCGAATTCATTCTTGTAGGTAGAGTTGTACCATACTATCACATTATAATTACTGACATTTGAATTCATGAAATCATAGCCTGTGGAAATGTTTGAATAAAAAAATAAAATTAATTAAAGCTTAGATCATTTACTTAGCAAGCAAACAAACAATGTGTGGATCCACCAACCTGCTAGTATCTCATTTATTTTCTTCTCCGAGTTTCCCTTCTTGTATCCCGCATACAACTCATTGTTAATATCAGAAGACCTGTCGCGCCATAAATGTTGAGCTTGGACACATCTAATTTCTACATTAAAAATACAAGATCAGTTAGAAAATAAGCTGTTAGCAACAAACCATTTTTGTCTCTTGTTCATAATCTAAGCTCCTAGAAATACAAGTATCGTTAGGATTCAACACACACAACAAAAATAAGATGCGAACAAAAGAAAGAACTCACACCAATTAAGACCATCGAAATAATTCATACCTTTCTCTACTTTCGTGGACCCCACTGGGACTGAAATAGAAAAGGTGGAGTTGGCTTGGCACTGAGATTGCACATAGTAGATTGGAAGACTCGAGAAGAAAGCAGGTTCAAGAATGTTGGATACTGGAGTCTCCGAAGCTGACCCCTGATATGTTACAAAGAAATCATAAATTCTTAATATAATATTCATTACACACATATGAATGATTGTGCTTGCAAGATGTGATGATAGGTAGTAACTAACCAATACAACATCAGCCAGACCATTGGATGAGTTAAAATTGGATGACCTGGGAACATATTTCTAGCCAAATCTATCAAATTAATATACATCAGCAGAAATTTATATTGATCAGGATGTATATACAGAACATTGAGATGAATAAGGGTATGCAAGAGATAGAGTCAACATACTCTCTCCAAGGGATTGGTTATTTCCAGTAATAAATACAGTTGTAGGGCAGGAACCTGTACTTGTGCAGCAGTCATTAGGCAAATCTCCAAATGAAAGCAAACGATCACTTCTCACTGCTCGATACTGTGGAGCTGGTACTTGTAATAATGGAGGCCATTCAAGTGGACTAGGAATGGAACACGTACCCACTTGGTCCAAATCTGAGTATTCAATCCCACACACTCTCTCGCATTCACCATCACCATCTTGATCAATACAAGTGCAACCACATTTTAAAGAGGGTTTATCTAGTTCTATGCTCACTAAATGTTTTAGTGCTACAAGTAACAAACAGAGGAACACTGGGAATAATATGAGCCTGGCATTTGTCTTGAAATTCTTTCTCTGGTTTGAAGAAAAATGGAATAACAAGCTTTTAAAACAAGCATTTATAATGACATGAGATCAAAATGAATAAACTTTAGAAAACTAAAATAAAATAAAAAAGGTAAACCTGAAAGGTCAAATTTTTTCTGAACAAAGCGTTAGCCTGAGTCTCTGAAGGAGATGCTCCAAAATTTGGTGTTTAAGGTTAAGGGCCAATTTAATTTCATAAAATTTGGTGTCTAGGGTTATGGGCCAATTTGATAGAAATATCTTCCAAAAACAAAGCAATTTGGTATCTTTGTAAATACAATCTTGAAAAAAAAACATCATATTTTGATATTTTGATGTTGTAATGTTTTTGGTTGCTGACAACTGGCATTTAGAACCACCAAATGGATACAACTACACTGCAAACGGAAAACACAATTTGGTCTTCTTAATGCCTGGAATCAAGAAATTCTCAAGAAGATTAATCAAATGTGAAACATACATGGATTCGGTTACAGATGTTTTAAACAGAGTCGCTTCATACCCACATATTCTCGAAATTGATGATGAATACGGAGAAATTGAAATGAAATTAGAAGAAGAAGAAGAGGATTTGTTACCTTCAACCTCGTGCCCCGAGTCTCGTGAAGCTTTTATTCAACTTTACAGTTTTTGATACGAGTCTAACCGGAAAGATTGTGAACATGAGAGAAATCGAACCCTGAGATTTGGATTCGGTTACAGATGTTTTAAACAGGGTCGCTTCACACCCACATTCAAGATTTGTGAAATTCTAGGGCACACGAGGCTACATGTCGCCTGAATTTCAGTCTACCGGAGTTCCGACACATAAGTCCGACTTGTACGCTTTCGGAGTTGTACTTCTTGAGATATTGTCAAGCGAAGAAGGAAAGTGAGGAACAAAGGAAGGAGTGTCGATAACTAGGCAAGGCGGTAGTCGAATGTATGGAGGGGGGAAGAAAGGATCGTAATTAGGGCAAGAAGGAAAGTGGAGGATAAAAAAGAAGGCGGGTGTTCAAAATTTTAGGGATTTCATTTCCCCCCGTCTATTAAACGCGCTTTTCATTAAAATTATATAGCGACACTCATAGAGGACGCCCATTTAAGATACAGCGCCCTCCGTATTTTTTATTTTTATTAAGCGACACTCATAGAGGACGCCCATTTAAGATACAGCGCCCTCCGTGTTTTTAATTTTTTTCTCGTATGACGCTAATTTAATGGCATGCAATAATGCGTGACCTAAATCCTTAAATTTTTTGAGGAGATAACACTTTTTTAACGTTACTCTCTTTTGCGTAACATAAATCAAGGAGTGTCATGGTTTGCGCGTTGTAAAAGGCTATTTTTCTTGTAGTGTTGATATCATAAGAATCAGATCCACAATTAATATTGCTATTATTATAAACATAATCAACACATTCATTATTTACATTCTAAGGAAATATAAAATAAGGCAACCACATGATCCAAAACATCACTTTTATTGCTAAAGAAAATTGGAACTTGTCCTTACAATGCATAAAATGAAAAACTATGTTTATAGACATCTTTGAAAAGTAATAACAAACTATTAAAAATATCATAAATCCTTATTAGTAGCTCCAAATTTTGATCATCAACCTTGAAACAAAAATCCATTTCCCATGATCAAATTTATCTTCCTTTGTTGAAGCTTCCTTCTTTCTCTTAGATCATGCAATACCTTCAAAATGTGATCATCACTTCAAGTATTAGTAGTCTATGAATACGAACTTATTAAAATGATGGAGTTATATAATGCTTGTACCTGAAGTAGAGTCATATGACATGACTTTACCATCACTAAGATCCTTTAGGTATTTTGGGCTGCTTCGCTTCAAATGTCCTTTCAATTGGCAATAGAAACAAATGAACTCATTTGGGGTCAACATATGGAAAGATCCTAGAATGAACCTTTCTCTTTATCATACAATCAAATAGTTTGACCTTGGTCGATCCTTTTCGATTAGGAAGAGGAATCTTTTCTAGATCACCAATATTACGATTGCCAATGTCCGTGGAACTCTTAGGATTAGATATCTCTTAAGCATTTCTACTTTAGTTGTACTTTGAAGCATTTCTAATTCATCAGTTATCAACATACGGGTCAAAGTTGTAACATTTGGATTTTCAGGTACATTATTTAATTATCATTTTTGGAGATTTTGAGAGAGACTCGGTGAGTTGATGCTTAGACTCGCCGAGTAGAGTCGCGAATTTTCATCTGAGTTAATGACCAGACTCAGCGAGTCGACTAGTGGACTCGACGAGTCCGTTCTATTTAATGAAACCCTAATTTCCAAGGTTTGAGACCTATTTAAAGGCCCTGCTGGCATTTATTCGCGGCTACCAGTTGCTAGAGAGAGACCCCAAAGTGTGTGAGTGTTTTGAGAGAGAAAGGAAGCCATTTTTGATCCTTGTGTGGGTGATTTTGCAAGAAGAAGGTGACCAAGGCAAGAGGAAGCTAAAGAGGGAGCTAATCTGTGGATTTCAGAACTTAAGGACTTCATCTTGAGGTACATATTCGATCCTTCTTCAGTTTGGGGTGTTAATCCTTGAGAGTTACGGTCTCTAGCCCATTTAGAGTATGATTGTTAGTGCATTTGGTCCCTTCTTGTGTTGAGGATTCGAAAATCGATCCAAAGAGGTCCAGAGACCTTAAATCCTTGATCTTTATCGAGTGTCTTGGAGAGATATGAGTTTTGGATGGCATATTGAGGCCATTTCTTCAAATAGAGCCATGGGGTCCTTGCATGGGCATCAAGATCCAAACTTTACATGTTTTTATTGCTTTAGGAGGCCAGATCTATGAGTTAGAGGAACGGATCTGACCTCAGGAGCTCATTTGAGCTCGAGCATGGCATAAACTCGTCGAGTCCCAAGAACATACTCGTCAAGTAGGGCTAGGGTTTCCCGTAAGTCATTCAGTGAGTAACTTGTCGAGTTAGGGGAATGACTCGGTGAGTTAGAAGGGGGTAGAGGATTACAGGTGGAACTCGCCGAGTCCATAATTGAACTCGATGAGTTGAGTCGGGGTGGCCCCGCGATTCATGCCACGTGTAACCCGTCGAGTAGGGGGAAGACTCAACGTGTCACGAGAGGCTAGAGAGATAGTGGACATGTGTAGACTCGCCGAGTTGCCCAAGTGCACTCGACGAGTCAGGTCAAAGTTTGACCGTTGACTTTGTTGACTTTTAGGGATTGGTCAACAATGGGGCCTTTGAGTCAAGAGAGGGGTAAAATGGTCTTTTACCCATCTGAGAGTACTAAGAGAGGGTTGGGTCTAGTCTCGAGAGTTATATTTATGAGCGTATTTTACTTTATGTGATTAGGAGGAGGTTAGACTATACTGCTACCGAGTCAGGGATTTACCGAGACATCTGAGGTGAGTCTTCTCACTAACGTTACCATGAGTGGTAGTTATGTGTGACCGGAGGGTCTTATGTTATTACATTGAGTATTATGATATATGTGATATGCTATGCATCATGTCTTTGTGATTAATGCTATGCGGAGTTTATAGACCGGACCGGAGGGTCCAACGATATAAACCGGAGTGGAGGGTACAACGATATAGATCGGACTGGAGGGTTCCACTGAGACACACTGACCAGAGGGTCATATTGTATCCTTGAGTAGCGTATGTGTTCTATGTGGTATTTTGGGGAACTCACTAAGCTTCTTGCTTACAGTGTTTTGTGCTTTGTGTTTCAGGTTTTCTCAGGATCACGGGACGGCACCGGCTCGATTGTACACACCAGAGAAAGAGTTATGTTTTTAGAGGATCCTGGATCACTATTTATTTGATTATGGAGTTATGTTTTTGTAATTTAAACAAAAATGAGATTTTTACAAAAAGTGTTTTAAGATCAAAGCGAATTTAAATGAAATTTTAGTTCTGAAAATTTTTGGTGTTACAGAAGTAGTTAGGGTTACATCGAGATTCCTCATATGAACGTTCTTAACAAGTTAACCATATGACTTTAGAAGAAAAAGAAATACCAAATCATTGGCTTGCTCCTTCAGGAATATGACACTCATTCTTTCCATCATGGCAATGTATGATTTCATTTTTAGAACATACGCACATACATATTCTCTGTCTTCGTGTTTACAAGCCAATAGGGCTTGTGTAGTTTGATATCTTTCAACTTGAGGAAAACATGACAATACGAGATTTATATGAGGAGGAAGTGGAAGAGTTGAAGAGAGGTGATGTCTAGAAGATTGAGGCAAAACATTTCCATAAGAACGATGAAGACCATTTATATCTTGATTATACATCTAAAAGGTGGGAAAATAGAGAATTCAAGTAACTTGATTTTAATCCTTAGTTATTAACTCAAATTTTAAATTAAGGCTATGGTTCATAGTTTCATTTCGTAATATGAAGAGGGATGTCGTAGTCATATCACGAAACTACTTGAGGTAGGGAGAAACATATTACCAATATTCATCACGCAAAACACCTAGATCTTTTGAGGTTTTAATTAAAACATCAATGAAAAGATTAATCTTGGATTATGCTCTTACCCATTGTGATTGGCATGTTTAGGATCACAATTAAGAAGAGAATGCAAACCTGCTTAAACACCGTTGATCAATTTATAATTTCCCATTGATGTGTTGGTTAACCACACACGCTCCATCAACAATTATAAACACCAGTTTTTTCCTC